TATTGGATCGAAGAGCTCAATCTTTAATGAATTCTTAGCTTAAAGTACAAACGCCTCGAGAGTGTCCAAAGGTTAACATGATATTCATTTTTCTTTTTCGGTGACCACTAGTGGAATCTGGAATAGGAATTTTGTCCTATTTGCGACTCATAAGCTGGAGGATGTACTGAGAGGATTTTCTGAAGTTGCAGAGGTAGTTCGCAGGTTAACCAGTGGAGTTCACTATGTCAAGATGAAACGGATGCTCATTGAAGACAGGAGATGATAAAGTTAAAGTCAAGGCGTCATTGCATTTCAGCCTTAGTGACCCCAAGCCTGGTTCGGGGGTCAATCCCTATTGGAGTTGAGAGTGCGAACTGATTAAAAATCCCGAAATAAGATGAAACAGTCCCCCAGTGCTCCCAGATGGTTTTCAACGATCTCTGCTTGAAGTATTCAACACTTTAAGGTTTTTAAAAATTTATTTGGTACCTGATAGATGATGGAAATTTTTTATTTTTTCATTTCTGGTTTTATGAACTGTTTAAACCAGGCGATTTAATATTGAACTTTTAGTGGTTTTTACTACACACACATATATCTATCCACACTGACAGATGCTCCTGAGCACGACAAATTAAGATCCTAAGGCAGGGGCCAATAAAACTAACTTCCATAGAAGCAACTATGAATCAATGTGTAGGGAAGAAAAAGATCCAGTCAGTATTGCTACTAGTGTGGTGAGAGCTGTCTACTAGCCAAATTGGTAGACAGTAATTTACGTCAATATTTACGTTCCCAAGATTTGTCGTGAGAAAATGTGAACAAAGATTGATTCAAAACCGACCACAGCAGACTTTGCGTAGGCGGATGCAGTTAACTTGTAGAGGATTTGACATTCAAGAAACAGTCACAAAGAGATGAAAGATTAAATTTACTTGAGAAACAACCAATCGGAAGACTGTGTTTGTTTGCTTAAAAATCCATAGTAGTGTACATGAAAATAAATAAAAATGCGTTGATTTCCTTTATAAATGATCTGTTGCCTGACCCTTGCCTTCTGTCGTTACACTATGACCCGCTATATTATTATATTTATTGTTTCCTTTAATTCCTAGAGGAACATAGGGCTTCAGCCGTGCGTCTCCATTGTCTTCGGTTCTCTATTACAGTCTTCACCTGGCTCCAAGTCTGCCCACACGCTTTCATCTCCTCTTCACATGACCTCCTCCAAGTCACCCCACCCTCGCACTGACGACCAACTCGCCACCGCTTCCCTTTCAGACGGGTTCCACTCGAGCAATGGCTTGTCTTCTGATGTCGCTCACTTGATGGTTTGTTTCCTCAGAGTATGGCCAGCCAATCCACCTACCTCCATTTCTTCCTGCCTATTTGTTTCACAATCGGTTGGTTCCTGCTGTGTTGGTTGGTTCGCTCATTGCCAGAGATCCCTCCCTCTCTGTTGCTGATGTTTTCTGGGGCCGGCCGGCCATCTGATCTTGAGTAGTATTGAGCGAAGACAGCTAGCTGTTAATGAAGGTCTGTAGTTTGTTTGAGATGCTGTTTATGACGCGCAGTGCAAGTCTCTGATCCATCCGTATAGTAAGTGGCACTGACTGACTTCACATTGGAGTTGAAAATCCGGATCTTATTTTTGATGCTGAGTGCTGTTGACCTCCACACAGAATTGAGAGTAGTGAAAGCTTGTCTTGCTTTTCCGATTCTTGCTTTGATATCCTCGTCAGTTCCGCTGGCCTGTAGTTGAAACGATGCTTCCCAGGTAGGTAAAGCAGGTTGTTTCTTTCAGGTTCCTTCCATTTATGCTGATTGTTGTCTGTTGTTTTTGTTGCTGCTGTTGGTGGTGGTGTTGCCCAGAAATGTTCATCACCTCTGTTTTTCTATGTTCACCTGAAGTCCTTCCTATCTATGATGCTTCTTCTGCCAACTTGTTGCTTTTCGCTTGCATATCTTCCAGTTTGTGGGAAATCAGACACATATTATCGGCGAAATCAAGATTCTCCAAGTTTTTTGTGTGAGTCCATTTTATGCCTGTTTCCTCATTGCCCGCCGCTGTTTGTCGCATTATCCAATCTACTGCAATCAGGAAAATCATTGGCGATAGTAGGCAGCCAGCTTGCCTTACTCTTGTTCTCACTTCGAAGGATTCCTCTATGGAACCTATAAATGCATAAATCCTCCGTTATTATTTTTCTCAACTTTTCTGACATTCATCTGAGTGTTGTATGCTGATGTTTATTATCACTTGTAGATGCTTTAGAAATCTAATCTGTTCATCTGAATCATTAGAAGATTATTTAACACATTCATGTTGTGAATAAGAGTAATTCTTTATTTCCAGTGTGACTATGGATTGACACCAGTTAGCGAATCATAGAAAGCCATACACTACTGGGCAGCTGTTTTCGTCCTGGTCTGGGAATCATCATCAGTTAGTGAACGCCCAAAGAGGTTTGAACTCAGGACCTTCCGGTTACAAGGTTACAGCTCGTAGACCATTCAGCCAGTGGGACCCGATTCAATGACCCATGAACTCCAACTTCTGTTAATTTTTGTGACTGTAGTGAGACCACCAGTCAGTGACATCCGGGCGAGTATTTGTCCTTATTCCTGAGCAGGGGAATCCCACTGTCAACTTCATCCTGTAGCTAGTCACTAACAAGCATCAGATCAATGTTTTACTATGGAGAAACTTCTTTTGAATATTCTTAAACCTTCTTTAAAAGCTTTTAGTGACCCTAAGCAGTTTGCTTATAAGTGTGGAAGAAGTACATTAGATGCAGCCATTGTACTACACCACAATATTGTTTCCTGCCTTGATAAGGGTGCTAAGTTCGTTCTAACAGCTTTGTTTAGACTATACTGCAGCTTTCGACTATTTTCCTAGGACACTTTTATTAGGAAAGATGATTTCAGCACAGACAGAGTCCTGGGCAACTAGATGGCTGTCTTCTTATTTTGAGGATAGGAAACAGCATATTGTTTTGGCTGGAAAGCGCTCCACTTCTCAGCTAACTGAAAGTGGTGTGCCTCAAGGTGCAGTACTTTCTCCATTTCTTTTCTCTTTCTTTTTGCATGACCTTCCGAACTCACCCAACGTTAACTTCATTAAGTATGCTGATGATCTGACCGTTTCTGTCCCTGTAGTTTCCACATCGGATTGTTCCCATATGAATGGCTTCTTAGCTGAAGTTAAGGATTGGTCTAGCTCAAATGGTCTTAAACTAAATCCAACTAAATGTAATACTGTTGATTTCAGTTTGAGAAGTGAAAAAAATATCCATGGATTGATCCAATCTCATGATTGTTGTAATATTGATGGTACCATGATAGAGAGTAAGTCAAGTGTTTCTTATCTTGGCATTAGTTTCTCTTCAAACCTTTGCTGGTCGTCTCATATTCTTATAGTTTCTAAGAAAGTTTTCCGTCTGACTTATTACATAAAGAAGTTGAGGCACTGAGGTATAACCCAATCTCTTCTCATACAATTTATTAATTCATGTGTTTTGCCCATTATTCTTTATTGCTCTCCATTATTCTTCTCTGGGCTACTCAAGAAAGACCATATAATACTACGAAGAACATTGAAGGCTGTAAGTAGGCATATGAATTCTTGTAAACACTTAGCTAAAGTTATCTTGTTTGATAGTGAACATCCCCTTTATTCACAATTGTTTCCTTGTATCTCTTCGGGTAAGACCAGAAGAAATTTCATAAACATTTATGCTCGTACTATAAAATTCGACCGTACCATATTTGGCACGAGTATTGTGTGAAGAGACAAATATCAGAAAAGAACTTTTACAACTTTTAAATCATTAACTAAACTATAAAATGTAATGATGCATATTAATGCATGTGTTACTTGTTATATTATTTATTTATTATTCACTATGATCTAGTAATGGTGTGATTTTGTTGGGGTTTTATTTTTTCCTATTAACTATCAATATTTTAACATTTTATACATTTATATAATTATAAAAAGAGCTAAACCAATGCAATATGTAAAAGAAACGCTGAAAATTCCATGCTGTAAATTGTTATTGTTGCGGAATCAAGTGATTATTATTATTATTAAGAGTTAATTTGTAGGGAAGGTCATGGGTTCAAACCCCACTGGGTGAGTAATGAATGATAAAGACTTATAGATCAGGAAGAAACGGCTGTCGAGTACTTATTGGATTTCAATGATTCAACCCGCCGCGTTCAAACTGGAAACAAACAAATTCTTACAAACAAAAATCTTGAAAATAATTCTTTTATTATTATGGACGCATATATAACTGTAGGACCTGAAGAAAATGAAGTTATTGAAAAGATTATATGCTTTCTTCAATCACCTTAGTCTTCCGAAATTTTCAGTGGGTGGGTATCTTTAATCCTTCAGAAATAGATAGAAACACTTGATTTTCAGAGAAACAGTTGTAGGCTTGAACCCTGAGACTCTCTACTATCTTCACTTTGAACACACCTACGCCTACTAGTATCATCAGCCCACATAAACATACACACACACTATAATTAATACTGTGGAGACAAGTCACAGTGGTTTTGAGCACTCGACTTTTGGTCAGTGGACCTCAGGTTTGAGTCCCACTCCACCTACTTCAACCTAGGAAACTGGGTAGTATGAATAGTCCCCCCACCCACACACACATACCAAGTGTAGCTTACAGCCCAGCCCTATGTCGGGAATTGGCAGAAGTTAGAATTCATGTGCTGGAGCCATTAGATATGGTCCCAGTGGCTTAATGATCTACAATCTCGCCTTGTAACGGGATGGTCCTGGGTTCGAACCCTAGTGGTGGGTGCGTACTGATGAAGAGTCCCAAACTAGGACTTAAGAAACCAATGTCAGCTCATGATGAAATCCCATAACCAATCAATCAAATCCCCCTACAAACCAATAAATAATTGAATAACCAATATGTGTGTTACTCATAATTTGGTAAACGGGGAAAATTCTTACCTATTTTTAAAATTCTTCACATCTCACTCACCTCATTGACTTTATTGTATTCAGTATTATCATCAGTAGTAGTAGTAGTATAAATAGTTTCTAATAAATATTGTTTTTCTTTCTCGCTAATCCAAGGATGTTTTAATGGATTATCATAGACAGTAAATATCCATAGAGCAGAAAATAGGATATTTAATATACCGAATAAATAATGAGCATATGGCCAATATGAAATATACATAAATGATTTAGGCATAGTGCCTAAATCAATCAAGCGTGGTTGTGATACAATACCGGCTAATATTTGACCGACAATTGTTCCCATTTGCATACCTATAGGGTAACAATAGAAACCAACAGAAAGTATGAATCAAAGGGTATTAAGCCTTGAGCAACGATAATAACAATAATCACAATAATAACAATTTTTGTATTGTATTGTATTGCTCCCCTGGGTCCCTAGTGGAACATAGGCTTCAACTACACGTCTCCACTTGCTTCTGTCTTCAGCTGTACTTTTCACCTGCATCCATGTTATTCCATACTGTTTCAGCTCCTCTTCACACGGTCTCCTCCATGTCACCCTTGGACGTCCCACTCGCCACTTTCCATTCGGGTTCCACTCGAGCTATGGCCTGACACGCGATGTCACCCAGTGGTCTCCTCCTCAGCGAGTTTCCAATCCATCTCCACTTCTTCCTCCTGCATATTTGTTGGGCGATTGGTTCTTGTTTGTTTTGTTTCTTCCCATAGTTTCTTGTTGGTTCTTGTTCTTTCCGGCGGCCATCTGATCTTCAGTATAGAGCCAGCGAAGACAGCTGTTGCTGTTGATAAAGGTCTGCAACTTGTTGAAAATATTCTTGGTGACACACTGGCCAAGTTTCTCATCCGTAAAGAAGAAGTGACTAACTTGACGTTTGTATTGAAAGTCCGAATCATTTTGTTGTTGATGCTGAGTGAGTGACGAAGATTTCCTGATTGGTTTCAGGTTGATGAATGTGTTTCTTGCCTTCCCGATTCTCGATTTGACATCTTCGTCCGTTCCTCGTGTAGTTGAGACAATGCTCCCTCCCTAGATAAGTGAATGAAGTAACCTCTTTCAAATCCCTCCCATTGATGGTTATTGGCACTGCATGTTGCTGTTGTTGTTGTTGGTTGGTTGGTTGGTTATTTTCATAACCTCCGTCTTGTCTATGTTCACCTGGAGTCCTGTCTTCTCTGGCTGCTTCTTCGACCAGTTTGTCGGTTTTCACTTGTAAGTCTCCGATTTTATGTGACATCAAACATAAGTCATCCACGCGCGAAATCCAGGTCTTCTAGGTTGTTCACGTCGGTCGGTGCAGGATATCCCTGTCTTCTCGCTTCCCACTGTCTGAGGCATAATAATAAAAGTAATGGTGAATTCGAACTATAGTAACCAACCCGATCGAGCTAACCACTAACCACGAACAATTAATCAGAACAGAGAAGCAACGGATGTCACGAAATTCTTAAAATACATGATATTGTGGGTCATGGTGTTTTGAGATGCCAATCGTGTTTCTGATTCTGCTTTCTAATCTACAGGATAATTCCTCCAATTCCTCCCAAATGACAGGAGCGGAATTATGCTCCTGTCCATTCCAAGCAAAATACTAAGCCGCATCATCCTGGAGAGAATCAAACAAGCCGACCTGGATGAAAAACTTCGACCGGAACAAGCTGGATTAAGGAGAAACAAGTCATGCATTGATCAAATCGCCACACTACGGATCATCATTGAACAAAGCTTGGAATGGCAGTCAGTCACCTCTCTATCTCAACTTCATGGACTTTGAAAAGACATTCGACAGCGTCGATCGAGAGGTGATTTGGCAACTACTTCGCTACTACGGGGTGCCACCGACAATTATACATCTCATCCGACGGTTGTACGACAATGCTGCATGCCAAGTAATCCACAACGGGAAACTTACGGAATCCTTCGAAGTGAGGACAGGAGTGAGACAAGCTGGCTGCCTACTACTATCGCCAGTGATTTTCCTGATTGCAGTAGACTGGATAATGCGACAGACAGACAGCGGGCAATGAGGAAACAGGCATAAAATGGACTCACACAAAAAGCTTGGAGGATCTGGACTTCGCCGATGATATATGTCTGATTTCCCACAAACTGGAAGATATGCAAGCAAAAAGCAACAAGTTGGCAGAAGAAGCATCTAGAGAAGATAGGAAGGAGTTCAGGTGAACATAGAGGAAACCGATGTGGTGATGAAGATTCCTGGTCAACACCACCAAAAGCGACAACAACAACAAAAACAGACAATGGTCAGCCAGCATAAATGGAAGGAACCTGAAAGAAACAACCTCCTTTACCCACATACCTGGGAAGCATCGTTTCAACTACAGGCGAACGGAACTGACGAGGTTATCAAAGCAGCGAGGATCAAGAAAGCAAGACAAGCTTTCACTACTCTCAAGTCTGTGTGGAGGTCAACAACCCTACTCAGCATCAAAACGAAGATAAGATCCGGATTTTCAACTCCAATGTGAGTGAAGTCAGTCAGTGCCACTTACTATACGGATGGATCAGAGACTTGCACTGCGCGTCATAAACAGCATCTCAAACAAACTACAGACCTTCATTAACAGCTAGCTGTCTTCGCTCAATACTACTCAAGATGAGATGGCCGGCCGGCCGGCCAGAAAACATCAGCAACAGAGTGTGATCTCTGGCAATGAGCGAACCAACCAACACAGCAGGAACCAACCGATTGTGAAACAAATAGGCAGGAAGAAATCGAGGTAGGTGGATTGGCTGGCCATACTCTGAGGAAACAAACCATCAAGTGAGTGACATCACTAGACAAGCCATTGCTCGAGTGGAACCCGGTCGAAAGGGAAGCGGTGGCGAGTTGGTCGTCAGTGCATGGGTGAGGGTGACTTGGAGGAGGTCATGTGAAGAGGAGATGAAAGCGTGTGGGCAGACTTGGAGGCGGAGGGAGACTCTAGCAGAGAAGCGAACGCAATGGAGACGCACGGCTGAAGCCCTATGTTTCTCTAGGAATTAAAGGAAACAATAATAATAACAAATGACTAGTTTTCTTCTCAAACTTCTCATTCTGCTCACCACCTCATGTTTTAGTAACTCCAGTATAGTTTTATTTGGTCTCACCACATGTCAGATCTATATGTCAGCTTCATTGACTATGAAAAGGCTTTCGGCAGCGTTGACTGAGAAGTGTAATTTGAAGACTAGTTTAGTACTATGTAGTGTCCCAAATCTTTATCAACCTCATTCAACGGCTGTATGACAACGTCATGTGTTAGGTGATTCACAATGGATCGTTTAGTGAAGCCTGACTTTAAGGTGAATACAGGAGTAAGACAATGCTGTCTGATATAACTGATGATATTCCTGATTGTGTAGGCAGCAAGAAGACAAGAATACATTGGACTGATAATAAGGCTCTAGAAGACCTGGACTTTGCGGAAGACATATATGTCTAATGCCATGGAAATTCGAGGATCTGATGGGGGGAAAACCAACATGTTGACAGAAGAGGAGACAGGCATCAAAGGCAGGACTGCAAATGAACATAGACAGAAGATGGAGGTGATGAAGACAATTAATCAACCAACCAAACAGCAAGCGACAATCACTATCAACAGGAGAAATTTGAAAGAGGTCAATTCCTTCACTTATCTAAGTCCAGGAACAAGAAACTTTAGGAATGAATCAACAACAGACATCTAGAGGAAAATGGAGGCGGATAGGGGACACACTGAGGAGATCATTGAATGAAATCATGCCCCAGGCAGACCCTTGAGTGGAATCCGGATGTGAAATGATGAGTTGAGCATCCTAGAGTAACATGAAGGAGATCGTGCGGCAAGGAGATGAGGGCTCGATGAAGATGACTGCAAATAACTGGACAAAACGGAGATGTTCTGCTGAAGCCGTATTTTCCACTCGGGATGTGGTGAGAGCTGGCTGCTAGCCAAAGTTGGTAGACAGTAATTAACGTCAATGTTTAAGTCCCTATTATTGGTGGTGAGAAAATGAGAACAAAGTTTTTACGTAGGCGGATACAGTTAGCATATGGATGATCTGACACAGCCACAAAGAGATGTAAGGTTAACTTTCTGTGAGAAACAACCAATCAAAAGACTGTATTTTCTACTAACAATAATCTACAATAATGTACATTAAAATCTATAAATAGTGCGTCGGTGGTACAGCGGTTAGGACGCTCGCCGACCATGCACATGGTCCGAATTTCGATCCCCGGCCACCGACGCACTCCTTTACCTCGCTGAGCCAGAAATAATGCTGATACAGAGGAAAGGTTGGGCATGAGGCTAGCAACCCCATCCCGTAAGATAAACACTGCTACAGAAACTTCAAGCCTCTAGCTTGAAGCCCTATATTCCACTGGGGAACGTGAAGGAAAAAAAATCTATAAATATGTGTTGATTTTCCTTAATAAACGATCTGTTGCCTGGTCCTTGTCTTCGGTTGTTACAGGGATCCTTGAGAATAATAATAACAATAATACATGTGATTCTAACTGGTTATCGAAGGTTATATACGCAGATGACGGCTATAGTAGTTAGTTCAACTTCAACAACAACAACAATAATAAATTGTGTAAGAGTAGAATCCGGGTACTTTTGTGTGTATGTGTAGATTATCTGAAACTGATCTATAAATAACAATTCAAACAGTAAGTACAGTACAGTATTAATGACCGGATGGGAACTCCTTGAGCACAATTTATTGCACATAATTATATACCGATTTAATGCAATTGTTAATTTTTTGACAACAAATTACGTAATTTAGAAGGCGTTAATCGGTTAGAAACTAAAATAAAGTTACAAAAGTAGGTTGGGTGACGTAATCTAATTACTAGGGTTCAATGAAAAATGAATGAGAGTCAAGTTAATAGTCTGAGTAGAATTCACTTAAAAATAAACGAAAATGGAGCTAGCTCCATTTGGTGTTTAACCTCTTTCCCTTTTCCAACTAATTATGTTACTTTTCAATACTTTAACCCTATCCCACACTATTGTGTGTCGGTCGGTGGGTTTTTGGCATAGAACTTTGCACATATGTGCGCCAGTTCAAGTCGCCACACTGCACTCCTTGTACCACACAAAGCAAGAGAAGAAAGTAGGAGAAATGCATAATACAGACAGTAAACAGAGGTGTGAGACAAAGGAATAGTAATAACGAAGAACAAAACAGTTTCATTGGAAATCATAAGTCAGTCACAAGGAGTGGATGCATCGGCGGTGTCATTCAGAACGATTTTGAGCCATGTCACCAATTGTTTCCAGCCTTCATTG